CAGGGGATTCTGTGTGGCTGAAGGATGTCTGACTGCCCAGGGAGCAGGCCTAAGCCAGCAGGTGTACATCCTTTGAGGGGTCCCAGACTGCGAGAGGGCATAGGCCGGGCTGAGGGACCCCCGGAGTGCACAAATTTTTGTGCACCGGGCCTCTAGTGTATATATATAATTGTATTCTAACCATATGTATGCATATGTGTGTGCATATTTGTTAACACTATTACAGATATCCCCTTTTCATCCCCACCCTTTGCCCACCTCTACCCAGTTCCTACCACACCCTCCTCAGGCTTCACCACACAGTTGTCGGTGTCGATAAGCTACACATATATGTTCTTTGGCTAATCTCTTCACCTTCTTTCATCCATTCTTCACCATCTCCCTCCCCTTGACATTGTTCACTTTGTTCCATATGTCCATGCTACTGGTTCTAGTTTGTTCGTCAGTTTATTAGATTCCACACATAAGTGAGCTCATAAAAGACAAGTTTTTTAATCAGTGTAAAAAATAACAGAAACTATACAAGATATGTGTAAAGCAAAAAAGATTATATGTGATTAAGAAGATTTGGGGGGGTAACCTTGTAATAAATAAACATATACAAATACACATATAAATAAACATCTGAACAGTATATGCCATACAATGTAGTGAACTGGATTATAAAACTGAAAAAATTACAGAAATGTAGCAGAGAGAGAAGAGGAGGAAAATGTAAGGAAGATGTTAATAAATATAACATCAAAAGATCTAATGTTATGCCTACTCATAGTTTTTGAAAGAGAAAACAGTAATGGAGAAGCAATATTCAAACATCTAAAAGATGAAAAATTTCAGTACTGATTAAACGTTCAACAAGCAGTGATTGAGTATCAGCCCACAAACCAGGCGGTAACAGTTCAATTCTGGGCCAGGGCACATAACAGGGTTTCAGGCTCCATCCCCAGGAGGGGGCATGCAGGAGGCAGGCCATCGATGTTTCTCTATCATCAAAGTTTCTATCTCTCTATCCCTCTCCCTTCTGTTCTGTAAAAATCAATAAAAATATATTTTTAAAAAATTCAACACCTCAGATTCAGAAATCCCAACAAATTCTGAGCTAAAAGTGTATACCTAGACATATCAGACTGAAACCATAATACACAAAATGCAAAGAAAAGCTGTAAAAGTATCCAGTACAACAGAAACAACAGAAGTCAGAAAAAAAATGAAATCATATCTTCGAAGTTCTTATTTTTGTTCCAAAAAGGCCAGACAGGAAGGCTGTTTGCTAATTGAACATGAGACTCTTTCATGGAGCATTAGCTCCTCCCAGCCACCATGTGACAGTGCTCAAGAGTACTGCCAATCAGGAGGCTCGCCTACACTTTGGCATCCAGAGCTGTTATTGAGACTTCATGATAAATGCACGGTTTATTGAATTATGGACCTCGTGGCTGGACTCAATCTCCAGGTCCTTAATCTTCCTAAAAGTTACACTGATATCAAATGGCTCAAAGCTACAACCCCTCAAATCACCTGGTTGGTATCTGGCATTGACCACCTCTATCCTGAGTCAGCTCATTAGCATAAACTACAAAGTGTGGTCGCAGTGCCCCAGAATGAATAACTCCTACCATACATGTAATTCCAAAGATTCTATATAATAAAAGGTGCCTTAATCTTCCTAAAAGTAACACTGATATAAAATGGCTCAAAGCTACAACCCCTCAGATCACCTGGTTGGTATCTGGCATTGACCACCTCTATCCTGAGTCAGCTCATTAGCATAAACTACAAAGTGTGGTCCTAGTGCCCCAGAATGAATAACTCCTATCATACAAGTAATTCCAAAGATTTTATATAATAAAAGGCTAATATGCAAATCAACCAAACAGCGGAACAACCGGTCACTATGATGCACACTGACCAACAGGGGGCAGATGTTCAACACAGGAGTTGCCCCCTGGTGGTCAGTGCGCTCCCACAGGGAGAGCGCCACTCAGCCAGAAGCCAGGCTCACGGCTGGCCAGCACAGCGGCAGTGCCAGGAGCCTCTTCTGCCTCCACAGTGCTGAGGATGTCCGACTGCCCGCTCCCCAGGGAAAGCAGGCCTAAGCTGTCAGTCGGACATCCCCCAAGGGCATGAATTTTGTGCACTGGGCCTCTAGTTTAGACATAACTTCCCAGGAATGAGAGACAAAAGTCAGGCAAATTCCTAATTACACACTAGCTTCTCACACCCCTGTGCAGTACCCTTCCCTTGAGCATGAGCTGGACTGATAAATTGTTTCTAATTATAAAAAAAGGAATACAGCAAAAGATGAGATGCCACTTTTACAATTAGGCTATTCATACACCAACCTTGCTATGAGAATCTGCTCTTTGATGACTGATGAAATAAGGTTGTGTTTTAGGGAGGCTCACATGGCAAGAAACTAAGAGTGGTCAACTTCAGCAGAGGATCTCATTTGATCAGCCCTTGAGGAAATGAATTCTTTCAACAACCACGTAAAGGAACTTAGTACTGCATTCTTCCCCACTAGAGTCTTCAGATCAGACTCCATTCTGTCCTCATGATAGACTAAAACAAAGTATATAGCAGTGATAAGATTAAAAAACTAAATGAGCCCTAGCCGGCTTGGGTCAGTGGTTAGAGCATCAGCCTTCGGACTGAAGGGTCCCAGGTTCGATTCCGGTCAAGGGCAATGCCTGGGTTGCAGGCTCGATCCCCAGTGGGGGGTGTGCAGGAGGCAGCTGAACAATGATTCTCTCTCATCATTGATGTTTCTCTTTCTCTCTCCTCCCTTCTTCTCTGAAATCAATAAATATATTAAAAAACTAAAGGAATGTTTTAGCTTTTCATAACATGAGTTACAAATGAAAACTGTAGGAGTATTTTACTGACATGTTTGTGACGAAGGAGGGTGTTAAATCTCCCTGCTGGATTTAGTGAAAGCAAGGCCCTCTTAAAAAACATGCTAATAGCCCCGACTGGTTTGGCTCAGTGGATAGAGCGTCGGCCTGCGGACTGAAAGGTCCTGGGTTTGATTCCGGTTGAGGGCATGTGCCTGGGTTGCGGGCACATCCCCAGTAGGAGATGTGCAGGAGGCAGCTGATTGATGGTCCTCTCTCATCGATGTGTCTGACTCTCTGTCTCTCTCCCTTCCTCTCTGTAAGACATCAATAAAATATATTTTTAAAAAAGAACAACAAAATGCTAATAAAAATGCAAAAAGTGAGATAATCAGACAATTATAGCAAAACTAGAAGTCCAATGCACTAATTCGTGCACAGGTGGGGTCCCTTCTCCTGGCTGGAAATCGGGGCCATCTCGCCCAGTCCCCACAGGAGTTGGCCGGCAGCGGAGGGACTACGGGAGGGCTCCAGGGAGTGTCCTGCCCCGTCTCACCCAGTCACGATCCAAAAGATCCCAGCAGCAAGCTAACTGACTGGTTGAAGCTTCTGCCCGCTGCTGGTCAGTGTCCACCATAGCGAATGGTCAAGTAGTCCACCAATTGGTAGACAGCTTGGTCGGACACTTAGCATATTAGGCTTTTATATAGATAGATAGATAGATTAGCAAGATAATCTCAAAGCTAAAGAATAATGTGGATATTCAATGAGTGAAGTTTAAATAGTGCCTGCAACTGTCCTGACACTTAGTTTGTACTTAGGGAGACCTTGGCTATGACAATGGTTATTAATCTCTTTAAAATGACCTACATTTGATTTTCCTTATATATAGACTAGAGGCCCGGTGCACAAAATTCATGCATGGGTAGGGTCCCTAGGCCTGGCTGGCAATCAGGGCCAATCTGTTAGGTGACCAGCAGGGCTATCGGGAGGCCCCCACTGGTATCTGCCTTGGCTGGGGGCCTGGCGTCACCTGCTCGCCCGCCCCCCCCCCCCCCCCCCCCCTGCTGCTGGGCAAGGCCTGTGGGTTGGGGGCAGCTCCTACACTGAGCATCTGCCCGCTGGTGGTCAGTGTATGTCATAGCGACTGGTCATTCCACCGTTCATTCTATTTGCATATTAGGGTTTTATTATATAGGATTATATCCTAAAAAGTGTACTTTTCTCTTTCCATTACTAGATACTGGAGTAGGATCCCAGTGTGCTGTGCACTGTGGTGAAAGTTTGTGTTCAGGACTATGTTCCCACCCCAAAAATCCATAGTACAGACACAGGAGATTGGCAAGCCATGGATCCAGAACACTATCAGGGCTGCAGGAAAAACAGGGTGACTACCATTGTCTCATAGAGCCAGTAGGAATAGAGGACAGAATCACCTGAGCAGTGCATTCCCTGCATGGAAGAGAGCTGAGCACTCAACAATGAGACCAGGATCCTGTAGATCTTCAGCATCACTTCCATAAATTTGGTCCCAGAATTCATGTCCCACTGTCCTCTCTCCTAAAGAGTGAATGTCAATGCCATTATAAACAGCACTTGCAAAGTCTGAGGCATGAAATTCATCACAGTGGATGGGATCACAGCCAGACACCCCAAATGTGGGTGATGGTGCAGAGACCCAGCCCACATGACTGAGGTCTCCTGAGGGTTAAACTCCAATCTGGGATCAAAGGGGCGGCAGTCAAATCCTTGCTAAGTCTCAGAGAAGGTTCCATTGAAGAAACTGCTAAAGGTGACAAATAATGGTGTTGCCCCGAACACAGGGAGGGAAGCCAAGGTTAAGTGCTCTAAGATGTAAAGGGAACGGGAGGAAATGTATAAATGCAACCATGGAAACAGGAGCTGCAGCTGAGCCACCCTGGTCCTCAGACTGTACCTGCTCCAGTAAGGGCTGCTAATGCTGGAGAAAATAATCGTTAAAATCCAGCAAAACTCACAATTCCTATGCCACATTTTATTATATAATATTTTACAGTAACTACTCCTCAAAATATACTTACTCTTTTTAAAAATATCTTTTTATTTATTAGCAAAGGAAAAGAAGAGAGAGAGAGAGAGAGAGAGAGAGAGAGAGAGAGAGAGAGAGAAGCAGAGAAACATCTATGTGAGAGAGAATCATTGATCGGCTGCCTCCTGCTTGCCCCCTACTGGGGATTGAGCCCACAACCTGGGCATGTGCCCATGACTGGAATTGAACCTGGGACCCTTCAGGCCACAGGCTGATGCTCTATCCACTGAGCCAAACCAGCTAGGGCGGGACATTAGATTCTTAAAAGCCACTTTTCTTTCTCTAACATACAAAGGTGCTTGTGGGCATTGTGGAAGTGAGGGGTGCCTGGCCTGGGAATGTCTGCGCAGGCAGAGGGATGAGTTGCTCAAGTCAACACAGGCTGCAAAAATAAAACTTAGCTCTTCACCTCCAAGAGCTCAGGGGTGGAAACACACCTTATGCTTATTTTACCCAGGAGAAACCAGAAACCCAGACCAGAGAGAGGCGTCGTTTCTCTGGGAGTCCAGGGATATTTGAGAATCTGAAGTTCAAATCCAGGATGCCTGAGCCAGGGCACGGGGAGTTTGATCACTGCCCTCCTATTTCCCTCTGCACTGGCTTTGGGGCTCCAAAGCATCTGCCCTCCTTAGACACATGTTCCAACCCAAGAACACCCATGAGCGGAAACTAGGCAAATGGGAGAACACTACCAAGCAAGGGCTTGTGGCCTTATCAGGTGACTGGTCTTCTGAAAGTGATGGAGAATGTCAGTAGTGCGGGTTAGAAGTAGTGTTCATTGCGTGGTGTATAGCATTAAGAAATTAAAGTATATTAATCCGATACAGGAAAGAAACATTTATTTCATAAAGCAAAAATGGCACAAAATGAGTGAAATTCCAACATCCATCTTCGTTGTCCCGCTTCCCTTCTGTTAAAGAAAATTGCCAAAATTCATACCAGATTAGGCAGGACAATTAACCAGACATTTTACTACGGATACAGGAGTAGCAAATACACATCTAAGAAAAGGCTGGTCCTAGTCTCCAACAAATCAGAGAACAGAGTTAGCTTCCCTGCGCCAATGAGGATGGTGACTGATGCCATCTGAGGACACCGTATAGGTCAGCGGTTCTCAACCTTCCTAATGCCGCGACCCTTTAATACGCCGGGTACTCGTATGTGGGCATATCTGCATGTGGGTAGACCCGCCTGGAGACGGATAGAGGAACGGTGTCTCGGTTCCTAAGACATATGTATTTTCCGATGGTCTTAGGCGACCCCTGTGAAAGGGTCGTTCGACCCCCAAAGGGGTCGCGACCCACAGGTTGAGAACCACTGGTATAGGTGGTACAAGTGACATTGCTTCAGCAACAGACACATTCAGGGACATAGATCTGGCAGGACACCTGTGTAAATTAGAAAGGGCAACATACACACACATGATTTTCAGATAAGTTTATAGGGAATCTCCCTACTTTTGACATTAGAATGTATGAGATTCAAGTCAGGCAAATAGTTTCCTTATAGTATTGTTAAGACTGACCTTAAAAATTGTACATTTCCTATGCATATACAACCTTCTTCCCATGTGAAGCCTTATGTGCAAAATAAGGTTAGAATTTTGGGTACAAAATTTGCCACATTAACTACACTCCTAAGTCCTTTCTCTAGTGTGAACTCTCTGGTGACTACGAAGGCTTAGGATACCGGTAAAAGTTTTTCCACATTCACTGCAATCATAAGGGCCTTGTCTAGTGTGAATTCTCTGATGATAAAGAAGGGATTGGTTCTTGGTAAAAGATTTCCCACATTCACTGCACTCATAAGGCCTTTCTCCAGTGTGAAGTCTCTGATGATAACGGAGGCCACTGCTACTGATAAAAGATTTCCCACATTCACTGCACTCATAAGGCCTTTCTCTAGTGTGAACTCTCTGGTGACTACGAAGGGAATAGAGCATGGAAAACGATTCTCCACATTCACTGCACTCATAAGGCTTTTCTCCTGTATGAAATCTCCGATGATTACGAAGGCTATAAATGGTGGTAAAGGATTTGCCACATTCACTGCACTCATAAGGCCTTTCTCCAGTGTGAACACTGTGATGGCGACGAAGATAATGGATCATGGTAAAAGATTTTCCACATTTGCTGCACTCATAAGGCCTTTCTCCTGTGTGAATTATCTGATGACGACGAAGGCATCTAATCATGGTAAAAGTTTTCCCACATTCACTGCACTGATAAGGCCTCTCTCCTGTGTGAAACCTCTGATGATAACGGAGGCTACTATTACAGGTAAAAGATTTCCCACATTCACTGCACTCATAAGGCCTTTCTCCTCTGTGAAGTCTCTGATGATAACAAAGGCTAGTGCTACTGGTAAAAGATTTCCCACATTCACTGCACTTATACGGCTTTTCTCCAGTGTGAAATCTCTGATGATGACGAATGCCAGTGCTAGTGGTAAAAGATTTCCCACAATCATGGCACTTATAAGGCCTTTCACCACTGTGAATTCTCAGATGAATACGAAGGGAATCGATCCTGCTAAAAGATTTCCCACATTCACTGCACTCATAGGGCCTTTCTCCAGTGTGAATTCTCTGATGATAAAGGAGACCAGTGCTACCGGTATAAGATTTCCCACATTCACTGCACTTAAAGGGCTTTTCTCCAGTGTGAAGTCTCTGATGATAAAAAAAACTAGACAATCTGGTAAAATACTTTCCACATTCATGGCACACTAAACGCTGTCTTCTAGTAAAAGCACTTTTGTTTTGAACAAATGTGTGCTTGCGGCCAATCGCTCTCTTATATTCTTTCCTGGTGTAGGTACATGTTGACCGTATGAAAACCGAATGTCTTCACCACAAATGTTTATCTGTCATGACTAGACATGATTTTATGGGATGATTTTCAAGACAAGTGAGACTCTGAGGGAAAGGCAGTTATATATTACTTGACCCCAAAGGTCAACCAATGGTGGAGACCTCACCAAGGGAGGGACATGAGCATATGATAGGACACTAAGAACAGGGGCAAGATACACTAGAAGAGAGGCAGGGTCCACTAATTGTTTCTTCTTTTTTTATAGTATATTGCTTTCAGATAGGAAGGGGGAGAGAGAGAGAGAGAGGAACATCAATGGTGAGAGAAAAATCAACAATCAGCTGCACGCCCCCTACTGGGGATTGATTTTGCGACCCCGGCATGTGCCCTGACCAGGAATGAAATTGTGACCTCCTGGTTCATAGGTCGACGCTCAACAATTAAGCTACACTGGCTGGGCCACTAGCTGTTTCTTCACAATGTCTTCTGTGGGAGATTTCATGCTGGTGATGTGAGTTTATGTAGAATAACTTGAATGTGCCCAATCCCATAAAAAAACCCCACAGTATTAAAGCACATGATGTTCAAGGTCAATATAAGGGCACATGCACACTCCAAGGCTCTGCAGGCAGGGACCAAGGTTAGTAAGTAGTAAAGAGAGACCTGTGGGGTAAATGGTGGAGGTGCATCATTGAGAGAGGGGAAGATTATCCACGTGCTGGGAAACTGAGTAGAAATGATAAATATTGAAACTGAGTAGTTAGTTGGCAAAGTGTCAACAATAAGAAAGAACAAATAGAATGAAGTGGGGAACTGGCAATGGTAACAAAATACTGATGAACAAAATTGGTTCCTAGTTATGACTTAACAAAACCCTGGCATCAACTCCTCTCCAACAGCCCCTTCACCCTGGCAAGACTGCCACGGGGTTCTCTCCCTGCGATGGGTGGAGTCATGTTTCTCCTGTGATGCACAAAGGATTCTTCCCCTTGAAATCCCAGTTGAGCCATTACATGGGAAACAGATGATAAAAATCCTAAAAGAAAACCTAAAGAGCTGGATGGCCAGCACTGTGTATAACAAAGCACAAAAGTAACCACAGTAAAAAACAAAAACAAACAAACAAAAAAACTATGTGAGTGACACCAGGAATATGGCAGAAGAATTCATCTCCCTCCCAGTACAAGAGTACAAGTAGAGAGCTATCCGTGAACAAAGAAAACATAGCAGATGGTAATTAGCACCCAATAAAGACAAACAGCAATGCAGAAGAGAAAAAATGGGAGAACTGCATAGAAAGGATGATTGAGAAAAGTGGTTGAGCAAATATATTTGAAGATGGTTACAGCCAAAAACAAGGATTGGCGTTACGTCTATCAGCCACTGACGCTGGTGGCCTTTCCTATACAAATCGCTGAAAAAATTTTGTTTTAAAAAAACCACAAAAGTCCATGTAACATCTGTGAATTCCCCACAACACATGAAAGGACTCAGTTTGTTGGCATGAATTATAAAAGAAACTAGAGACCCGGTGCACAAAAATTTGTGCACTCGGGGGAAGGGGGAGTCCCTCAGTCCGGCCTGTGCCCTCTCGCAGTCTGGGACCCCTCGGGAGATAACGACCTGCTGGCTTAGGCCTGCTCCCGGGTGGCAGAGGGCAGGCCCAATCCCTAGGTGCAGCCCCTGGTCGGGCTCAGAGCAGGGCCGATTGGG